TTTTTGGACATTCTCACTTAGAACCTTAAAAATGTATTCTTTCTTTAAAAAAAAGTTATTAAATTCCATCTACTGTTACATTCTGCTGAGATGTTCTGAGATTCCAATTTTGTTGCCTTGGAACTTTTCTCAGATTCTCCACAATTAGACAAACAGACTCACTATAATTTCATCTAAAGCAGATACAAATATTAACCTTAGAAATGAAGTATAAACTAGATGACCATCTGTCAAAAGATACTTAGAAGAAACACTTATATTGGCTCAATATCAAACTTCACAGATTCTACGTTCTTCTAAACCTAATTTTTTTTGTCTGTAATTTATTGTTTTTTGACAAAACTTTAAACTTTACTAATTATCTCTATCATATTTCATTATCTAGCTACACCCAATAAGGTTACTCACCAGGACCCGTCACCCTTCTCAACACACTCCAATGGCTGGCTGCCCCTAGTGATTACTCTTCCTCTACAATGCATCCTTTGAAAGTTATTTTTAGAGGAGACAGAGAGGGACATATAGGATACAATTATGTAAAGAAGAGTAAGATCAGGTTCAAGGGATTCCTGTTCTCCAATTTTCAAATATTTTGATGCTTTAACAACTTTTTTAAAGCAAAGAAATCTGGGTCAAAAAAGAAATCACTGAGATGAAGGGAAAAGGTGACCTAACATATCAAAACTTATGGGATGCAATGAAAGCAGTGCTTAGTGGGGAAACTCATATCTGTAAATGCCTATGTTAAAAAAAATCTCAAATCGAGACTCTAACCTTCCACCTTAAGACACTAGAAAAGAGTAGTGCACACTACACCTAAAACAAGCCGGAAAAAAAAAGAACAAAAATGTTAGCATGGAAATTAATAAAGTAGACAATAGAAAAATACAGAAAAACCAATGAAATCAAAAGTTGGTTCTTTGGAAAGGTCAACAGAATTGGCAAACCATTAGCTAAACTGATCAAGAAAAAAACAGAGGATAAAGCGCTAAAATCAGGATTAAAGAGGGGATATTACTACCTATGTTACAGAAACAAAAAGAATTATAAAGGAATTCTATGAACTATATGCAAATAAACTGGACAATTTACATGAAATAGGCAAATACTTAGAACCACGAACTATTAAAACTAACTTAAAAGTTAAATAGCTAATAACAAGTACATAGATTGAATTAGTAAACAAACTATTGTCGAAGAAAAGCTTATGCCAAAATGGCTTGCTTCACTGATAAATTCTACCAAACGTTTACAGAAAAAGTAATACAAATTCTTCACAAACTCTTCCAAAAAGTAAAGAGGAGCGCTTCACTTATATTGAAGCCAGCTATTACCCTGCTACCAAAAGACAACAGCACTAGAAAACAATAGCCCAACATCTCTTCTAAATATAGATACGGAAGAAAATACTAGCAATCTGAATCCCACGACATAAAAAAAGAAAAAAAAGTTATACACCATAACCAAATGTGATTTAGCCCAGGAATGCAAAGTTGGTTTAACATTCAGAAATCAATTAATGTAAATACACCATATCAACAGAAGAAATCATTCTTTGCTCACACTAGGGAAATGTAACAAAGGAAAAAAGTTCAAATTCTCTTAAAGTTCAAAAATTAGGATATAAATAATGCAAATGAAAGACAAAAAGGATGAAGGATACCTGTGGGGATGTTCCAGTTTAAATGAGGCTAGAGAAAAATGAAAGTGCAGTATCTGACCCTAGACTGGATCCTGTACTAGACAGATAAATGCTATAAAGATCATTAATGGGTTAACTGACATAATGGGAACATGGACAGATTAAAGTAAATGTTTCAATGTTAAATTTACTGAAGTTAATAACTTTACTGTGATTCTTTAAGAGAATATGCTTATTCTTAGGAAATACGCACTAAAAATTTTAGGAGTAACGGGCCATAATTAATGCAATATACACACATATATATGGGGAAGAGGAAGAAAGGGAGGGATGACTATTGATAAAACAAAAGGAGTAAAATGTTAATTGGTCAATCCAGAGTTCTTTTTGAAATTACTTAAAAGTAAATAAAAAATGGAGAAATTACTTAAAAGTGGAGAATGTAGAAAAGCAAAAGAAGAATTTATGGAAGTGCTTATAATATCAGAGTATTTTTTACATTCATTTTTTAAGTCTCTAGTAAGATATGATACTCTGGAAAAAGTGCTGGATTGAGTTTTTCTTTACCAACAGAACATAAGCCTATTTTCTAATACGTAAAACAGTTTGAATTAGATGAATCCTGCTAAGAAATAAAATACAAACTTACAACATTAGTCTTAAATAACAGAACATTATAGTTGTGTCCTACTATTCTATGCCCACTGTTGGACAGAAGAATTCTGGATGCTCAGATAGAAAAATCTCTAGGAACTAAAAAAACAAAGACTGTATTTTGGTTGGCATATTCCACACTGCTTTCATTGCATCCCATGTCTATCTTTATGATAGTTTTACATTTCTTCTCCCACTCTTTCAGTTGCTATTTCTGCTTCTGTTTAAGTTTAATGTCTGAGTGAAATTTATAAAATCCTTATTGTACAGCATCATCTATATTACAAATCTACATAGAGGGCTTTCTCATCTGAGAAAAAGTGCTGCATAGTGCTGGGTATATGACAGAAAAAAAACTATTAATATGGAATTATTATATTACCATAACACCAACCCTATTAATAATTCTGTACTGGGGCTGACTTCTGGATCTTATGTTCCTTCTAAATAAGAGTCAGTTATTGTGACCATATTAGAACTTCATGTTCTAATATTACCTCCTTGACTTTATGCCCCCTAATCTAATAATGAATTTCTTTCTCAATCTCCCATGTCTTCCCACACACTGTTCTTTCAACTTGAAATGTCCTTCTCTAGGCTCACACTCCCCTTCCTACAGAGTTGTCATTTGCATCAATCTGTGAATGGTACCCTGCCTTCCTACATCTGTACCTGGACATAGTCCTACTTTTGCATTTAATTGCTCAGAGATAATTACTGGTAGATCTGTCTCTCCTAAACATGAGTTCCTTGATGGAAAGCATGCTCCAGAGTTTGGCACTATGTCTAATAAACAATAAGAGCAGCTTACACTTGTTAAGTGCTTAAAAAAGTAAAAGCAATGAGTGCTTACTACTTGGCCAGGTACTGATGAAAGTACTATGCCAATTAACTCATTCAATCCTAAAACCTTACGAAGATGGTGTTAAGCATATTTTAAAGATGAACATGCACGGAAAGGATACTTTCCATTTTTAAAGTATAAAATCAAAGTAAAACATATACACACACTCTCAGCTTCCGATCTTGACCAAGAAACATTTTAGAGTTCCATTCTAACCTACTAGGATGTCACAATGCCACATAAATTCAATTATCTGTAAATGAAAATCATCTCTACTGCACCTTCCCAATACTCGCTGATTCTACTAGTCTCTTCATTGGCATTAAGAAAGTTTTCCTAGTCCAGAAGCTCAGAATCTCTCACCCGTCTGGTCCTAGATTATCGAACCTAAATCGTCCACTCTTTTTTATGTCCATTCCCTTCTATTTCGTCTGCCACAAATAATCCGGAAAAGCTAGAAGCAGATAACACTACTGTTGAACTTTACAACAAATTCATTTTCGGGACAGACGATATAGCAGTCAAGACTGCTACGGTTTCAATTCTGGCCACCAGGTTCTAGTTGTGTCATCTAAAGAGGTAAATTATAAATTACTTCATTTCGTGGAGCCTCAGTTTTCCTCATATGTAAAATGAGACTGGTCAGAGTCGAGGATTCAATGAGTTGCAAACCATTTAGAACAATGCCTGCCAGATGAGCCTCAACAAGTGATATTAACATCGCAACGTCACATTCTGCTCAAACGTTGAGTAGCTCCCCACTGACCAAAAAAAAAAAAAAAAAAGCTAAATACTTGAGCTTGGCATTCAGTGACTTTCAGTCAGATTCCTTACCTTCTACTACTACCCAATTCTCAACGCTTGCCCAAATGTTCTGCAATGGAACCTAGAGCTCAGCAGAGGTCCTTCTGCCCTCTTCAAAATTTCGCTTTTACCTGCCCTTGAGGGTGCAACTCAAATCTCACTTCCTCTCCAATTTCCCCCACCCACTGGGTAACGTTCCCCTTTCCCCGAGTTTCCGCAGCACTGGCGGTTAAGCCCATTAATTTGGAATTAGCTCCGCTTGGCAAAGTAACTCTTCTTTTGGCTCCCGCAGGAACGCTCAAATCTAAGGGTGGGAGTGTGTCCACTTATATGTGTATTACAAAGGATCGCGGAGCCTAAAAGATGCACTACCAGGGTAGGTAATCTGCAGTTCCTATAAAAAAGTTACTCGCTGGCCCGAAAGGGAACTCAACAGAGCCGTTTTCGAACTGGGCAGGTGCCGAGTTGTTCTTGCGTGGAGAGGGCGGCCGGAAGGCTCCCCGTTAGAGGGGGAGACGAAGGGGGAAGGTGGGAGGTGGGCCTCGGAGCGCGCGGCTCCGGCGTTTCCCTTCCGGCGGCGCGCGCGGGCCGCGAAGAACGTCGAGCCCCCCGCCCCCGCCGGCTCACCTTCTCCTCTTCCTCCCCTTCCTCCTCCTCCTCCCTGGCAGAGCTGTAGGCCTTACAGTGGTGACGCGGGGTCATCCGGGGGCCCGTTACCACCTCATTTTCCTCAGCGCGCGGGGCGAGGACCGGGCCGACTGAGGAGGGAGAAGAGGGGAAACCGGGCCGGGGGGCGCTGGCGCTCGAGCGGGACGCACGGCTGCGGCCGGTGGGTCAGTCAGCGAATTAGTTCCATGACGACCCTGGACTTGAGGCAGCCACCGCCGGTCCCGCTCCTCCAACCGCCGCCGCTTGTGCCCGGGTGGGGAGGGGGTTCCCTCTCGCCATAGGGCGGCGGGGGCCGGGGAGAGGCGGGGGGTGAGACCGGCTCTGCCCCTGCCCGGGGGATGCACCTCCGAGGGGAAATGGTGAAAGGGAAGCAGGGGAGAAAAGAAAGAAAAAAAAAGAAGGGGAAGGGGGTAAAATAAGAAAAAGCGAGACAGAGACGCTGCCGCGTCCGCTCGCGGGGAGGCTGGGGAGGGAGAGGAGGGGAGGAAGAAGTGCCGGGCCCCTCGGCTCCACCCTCGCGGACCGATTCCTAGACGAGTGACTCCTGTAAACAACACTGAATTGGTCTCTGCCTACCCTTTTTTACTCCCCACCGCCTTCCCAATCCAACGAACGTACGGAGACATCTGGAAAAAAATGGGCTGTTGGGGACGGGCTGGGGCAGGTTTTGGCCCTGGGGTATAAGGAGAATAGACATTTTCTCTGGGTTAAGAAAAGCCAAGGTGCGCGGACTCGTTTTCGTTGGATGAGCGGAAGGATCTCTTATGGGCCGCACAGTGACGTCAGCGCTCCGTAAGCTGGTTGGAAGAAGCGTGCGGTGGCCGGAGAGAGCGCTGCGCATGCGCCCCGGGGAAGAAAGAAGCGGCTGAGCGCTTCTCTTGGGGGTGGGGCTTTGTCAGGATGCTGCTCCGGCTGAAGCTAGAGCTACCTGGTTTTATCCAACCTAGCGTGTCTGTAGGGTTGGTAGGAGGTTTTATTGGGAAAGGGCTAGTGATCTGTTGTGCAAAATCATGTATTGTTATTGACCTCGCAAAAAATTGTGTTCTCTTCTTAGCATTGACGTGTAAATAGAATTGCGATGTTTTTGCTGCCACATCCTGGGTGCAGGGAGATTCTAAAGTGTTTTAGAAATCGGGAAATTCCGTGGATCATATCCTTAAGCATCTTTTTGCTTAAGGCTTCTTTTAGAACGGTAAATTATACTGCCGAAGGCTGGGAACCTGCTTATTAATGTGTCCAGGGAATTCTATCCACTTAACCAACGCATCTGAATATTTCAGACTACATTTTATTGCCAGATCTTTAACGAGTGAGTGATGACATGTAAATGTGTTTTATTTGGGCTCTTTTACTCGCTATAGTAACTTGATCATCTTTTAGTTGTTTTGATTATAAATTTGTAGGATTACAGAAAGTTTTGAAAAAGAAAAGGGAAAAAACCTCAAATTCAGTTATTTACAGAGGTGGACTCTGTGATTTCCATTTCTGTCTTTTATATGCCGTTTTTAACAGTCATTAAAAAAATATGTGTGTTGAACTTATTCAGCGGGCCAGGCTGAGTGCTAAGCTCTATCAAACTGGAAGTAACTAAGACAGAAATAGCTCCTGCCTTCATGATCTTTACGATCCAAAAAGGATAAACGTTGAGCTAATTGTCTCTAAAATTACCCAGTACCTTGATTTGTTTTCTTATACATTGTATTCCCTCCCTAGAATACAAGGTCTGGGATTGCGGGTATCTTCCATGTTTTGTTTCACCCTGTATCCCTGCGTGTAAAGAGCTCTCGGTATTTGATTACAGACTGAATAAACAATTACCAGTATCAAAAGTATTAAGATGGAAAACTGCAGGCTGCTATGGAAACACTTAACTCTAGCCTAGTTAGGGATATCAGAGAAGGTTTCTTTGAGGAAGTGACATTTAAGATGAGACTTGAAACCACTGGGCAAAGAAGTGGGGAAAGATTTTTGGCGTAGGAAACAGCATTTGCAAAGGCTAAGTTGAGACAGTCTAAATATCGCTGAAAGGTAGTATCACTGGCCATCAGAGAATAGAGGGAGAGAGAGCTGAGGTCCAGAGGGCCAGAGGACAGAGCAGCAAATGGGAAGCCCAAAAAGGATTTTATGTGGGTTGATTGTATTCTTTTTTCACTTTGTATAGCCTTTTTCTGTATTGCTATGTGGTCCTCCTTCTACATAACCAACATATTTCTGCATAATACCTTTGAAAGTGTAGCATTTCTGCATAATACCTTTGAGAGTGTAGCATAATTACATTGTTGGACCATGATTTTCAGTCCAACAAGAATAATGTAAATTCCACTCCTAGATATGTAGCCAAGAGAAATGAAAATGTGTGCACACAAAAACTTGTACATGAATATTGACAACAGCATTATTCATAATACTCAGAAGGTGAAACAACATGAATGTCCACCAACTGATGACTGCATAAATTAAATATGGTATACCTATAAAATGGAATATTAGTTGGCCATAGAAAGGAGGCATTGATATGGTGCATGTAACATGGGTGACACAAGAAAACATACAATATGCAGTCTTTTATGACTGTTTTCTATCACTTAGCATAATAATTCCATTTATAGGAAATGTCCAGAATAGGCAAATCTGTAGAGACAGAAAGGAGATTAGTGGTTATTTAGGACAGGAGGCAGAAAGGGGTTGGGAGATAATAGTTAAAGAGTGTTCAATTTCTTTTTAAAGAAAATGTTCTAAAATCAATTGTGGTGATGGTTGTACAATTCTAAATATACTGAAAACCATTGAGTTTTACACTTTAAATGGGTGAATTGCATGAGATGTCAATTATATATCAATAATGCTGTCACCAAAAAAAAAAAAATACAGTATCTTCATGCATAACCTTTTTGGATTACTCCTGGGTCCAAAGATAGTTTCAGTTTTAGGGCTTTTGATGACTACCAGGTTGCCAAATTACTAGGCAGGGGAGTTGAACCAATTAAAATGTAACAACATTTAAGAGCTCTCACTTATTATATACTTATCCTTTTTGAAGTTTAGATTTATTAAAACTGTCTTACTGTCTGGGAGATTGCCAGTGACAATTTAATATACAATACTATAATGACAAGTAACTGATAGGTGATAAGGAACTAGGTCCGGTTGTCATAACAAAAAATATAAACATTCTTTTTCTTCAATATTCACTTATAAGACCTTACTTTTCATTAGTATTTCATTTTTCTTAATTAATATTGCTTTTACAATGAATTGTAGCTGTAAAAAATGGAAAGCCTTTAAAATTCCCTGAGGAAAAAAAATGAGGCATATAAGAAAACATATTAAGAAAACATATTAATATCCATATATTGGTAAAGAATTTATATTTTTTCCTTTTTAAGATGTTTTTAGGAATGTTTCCCTTATGTCCTAAATAGTAAAAATAAACTACCTCTCTACATGGCATTTGATAATAATAATAACTAAAATATATTGATTATTCATTATGTACCAGGCATTGCACTAAGCATTTTTATTCTCCCATTTTTATCCCCACAGCACTCCTCTACAGAAGGTATTATTGTTGCCCCCATTTTGCAGAAGATAAAGAGGTCAAGTATATCCACAAGATTGGGCACACAGCTTGGAGAGACACAGCCAGGATTCAAAGCCAGCTTGTCTGACTCCAGAGCCTGGTGTGTTTTTGGTCACTACTCTTCACTGCCTCATCCTGTGGATATTTCTGGCTTGCATTAAATCTTCGAACAAAAATACTCACCCTATGGTTATTTTTGGCTTGCCTTTAATTTTAGAATAAATACATTTTTTTAAAAAACCTACGTTTTTGGTGAGCAGTTTATATGCGTTTCTAGAGAGTTTATTTTTGCCTGAAAAGGGGTTATTAAAATTTTCTTAGACGTTTTATTTCATGAGTGGAATATTGAATCTTGAAGTATAAACATAGCTTGCTTCAAATAAAAAGTGGTAGGGTAAGGAGACACATGAGAAACAGTGGGCTGTCATAATAAAGGTTCTGTTTTCAAATGCAAAATAGGGTACAGTGAGACCCTTTAGAAGTCTAGGACAACTAAAGGGATTCAAGTTGATGAGCAAGAAATGGTTTGCTAGCCTTAATCTTTCAAGAAAAGCAATTAGAAATGCACTTCTTACATCGTTATGAATATAAAAGACCAGGCCATTTAGTCTTTTATAAAATGAATTTCTAGCCTTGTTTGCCTTAAATGGATTTTCAGCATAACGTTCCCAGCAGACAATTTATGAAGGTACTACCATGTAGGAGAAATAATGCCTACCAGAACAAAGGAAGTGATTTACTGTTGTTATAATCACTTTATAATCTTTTGCATCTGCCAAGATTTAAGGATCCTTCTTACAGCTTCCAAAATATTTGTTTTCATTAATTTCTACAGAGACAGAATGTAAGAGGAATAAACATCCCAAATAGATATCAAGAGAAACGGAGTTCCCATTCACCAAATAGTATAAAGACCTCCTATTTGCCATTAAGTGGGGTGGAATTACTCAGAGAAAACAAGTCAAAAATTCTAAAATATGAAGTCTCAAGCTGCTTTCCAGACTTTGGCCAACTCCAAATGTAAACTGGCTTCAAGCTTCTCATATTTAAGTACTTATTTAAAAAGGCCTCACCAAGAGGAATCACTGGTCTCAGGCTTTATTAAAAGAAGCCCCAGAAGTCACATACCAGCCACCTATTGAAAATTTGTAAATCAAAAGGCTCAGTAAAAACATTTTGTTCTTTTTTTGGTGGTATTGAAAGAAAAATACATTAGAAGAACACCTTTTACTCTTTCCAGAGTAAAGAGTAAGACAAACTGTTTTGAATCTTGAACCACCAAATTTAGTAAATTTAGGGGGGAAAATATCTTTTTTTGTACATCTTAAGTATCCAAACTACCAAAACTATTTCTTGTCAAGTACTTATGGGGAAAGTGTAGAGAAAAAGATAAATATCTTTCAAAGCGTATTTTTAGTCTCTTCACAACATATATTTACCATAACCCTCATTTCTTCTCAGTAAAGAAAAAGAATTATGTTTAGGAAATCAATTTAAATTATCCACAATCAGGGTTTCCAAGACTTCTTTCTCACATATCTAAGCTGCTTTTATTACTAGTTGGTGATTTAGTAAATATTTGAGTCCTAATTGCATCCTGCACTAGGCACTGTAAGAGATTCTAAGGTGAGTCATATATGGTCCTGTTTATAAGAAACTTATTCATTCATTCTTTAATTCAGCAACATTTATTAATTGTGTGACCATGAGCAAATTAATCAACTTCTCTATAACTTGATCTCAGTTTTCATCGTCTGTAAAATTGGGGTAATAATATGTCACCTAGGTTTTTATGATTAAATAGGATAATATTTGCAAAAAGCATAGAAGAAACATAACATAAGAAACACTAATTGTTATCTTAACTATTGTAAGAGTCTTTTATGTGCCAGGATTTGATTTTTTTTTTT